TTGTTTTTATTTCTGTTTCAGTTATTCCAAGCCAAGAATGTTAATCAGACATTTCAGTTATTATTTAATATCTTGATCCAAGGTGAAGATCTGACCACAATACAATATGTTGCTGACCTATTTGTGTTTTTATTGAAAAGTCCAAAAATTCAACAATCCATGCTAGTGTGAGTAATCCTATTGATAGGCACTTCATTGACTTTTGTAAATTTAAATAATTGTGGCTATCTACTTGGCTATGACATGCATAAAAAAAAACTTAGCCATAGTACGTTTTTAGGCAAAAATTAATTACTCCAAAACCAAATGGTACCAGAAAGTGAAATTGTCACAAAATGTAGTAAATTGTTTTCATAACATTAGATCTTTTGATAGTGCCAATAAAATTGTAGTGTTCATGGAGACTTTTCTAAGGAGTTTGCTGACTTCAACCTATAATTCATCAAAAACTATTGCATCCATTTATAGATTTGAAGATCTTTCAGGAGGAATCCAAGAAGTTTTGAAACTACTAACAAGAAATAGTGAACCAGAGTCCATTTGTAAGGTAAGAACTGATAGCAACAACAAATACAACAGTTGACACCAAGCCACCTGGAATATCTCACCTGGTCTCAAAGAAAAGGATATTATCTTGTGATCACTACATATATATCCTAACAGACAACCTATAGTATTATTCAAACATTTCATTTCCCTTTGTAGCACTGTTTAACTTTGTTGATTCATGTGATATGTTTTTTTGTTTGTTTTTTATCAGACATTTGAATTACTGCTTGCGTTCTGTAAAAGCAGTGGTATACGATGTACTGTCTGTCACACCCTGATGTCATCTCCATTAGTACAGAACTGTGAATCTGTACCACAGCATCCAATGCAACTCCCTGGAATAACACAACCATTCTATGCTGTATTACACTGGACAAGGCAAACACATGCAACACATGATAAAGCACCTTTATTGGCACTGGATTTCTTGAAAGAAATATACGAGGTAAAACAAACAGCAAATTATTGGAGTTGTTACAGTTGTATTAAACCTTGATGCAGCTAATTTTGGTTTTTAAATCAATCCTTAATTGCCGTCTGATGTACATTTTGTTTTAACAAATGCTGTTACATAGACATATCACTGACATGCCCTGATGAATTAAGTTTACCCATACATGCACACATATTCATTTGATGAACTCATTCATGATGGCCAAATGACATCCATTTTAAATGTTAGAAAAATCATCCACATCGAGCATTTCTGCCATCCCAGATCTTAGTGGTTTATTGATGGATTTCATTAAAACTTGGTATATACATTTGGAATTGAATATCGTGATCCTTTATATATTCTTAGTTTCCTGATAACTAACAGGATTATATAATGCAATTACTTGTCTATACTTGACACAGTTATTAACACCTGGACAGCTACATTGACTTGTTTTATATTCCATGCATCTAATACCCTCACAGCACATAGCAGTTCTTTCTGAGCCTTCTTTGATTCATTGCTATGACAACCCGTGTTAGAAACACAGCTGCAACCTTTGTCTCTTCACTTACACAAATATGACTCAAATACAGAAATATAAAGTATATTTTAAGTACTGTCTGATTTCAGGAAATGTTAGATTCTGGTTTAACATCTCAGCTGTCACCAAGGATTGACTTAGTACTACCAACCCTATCAGAAAAATTACATCCACCAACAGAGTCAGATGACAAGACAATCAAACATCAGTGTGTGAAATCTGTCAAGATAATAGACATTATACAAGATATCCTTTTATTATTGTCAGATATCCAGATTATATTATGTGATTTGCATCAACCAATGACAATTCACATAGTGTACATGTCAGACCAAAAAGCCACCAGCAGAACTGGATACATGTGTAAGACCAAAATGACC